AAACTCACCTAGCTGGGATGTCTCCTTGGCCTTGGCTGTCGCTGGCATGTGACCGTGGCGTTTGCTGTCGTGTCCTGCTTGCTCAGGCGAGTTCCCGGTGTGATTACTATGAGTAGGGCGTTTGCTTTGAAGATTGAGGACATGTCCTCGAATTCCTTGGCATTTATCAGTTTTCTTTATATAAAATAAAGTCCTCTGCTATCACTGCTTGCTTATCCCCTCGCTAAGTGACTAGGACAGTCGTATTCAGGATGGTTATTCACTAGCCAATAAGGGCTGGCCCCAAAGGACATTTTTACTCTTGTAAATTGTACTTTACTGTGTATTCCTTTTCTCCTTGTGATTCATTTTGATCATCTAACATACTAAGCCTCATCATGTGGCATGTAAAACTAGACTGTTAGACTAGCCCTTGGAGAGTATTCTTTAGGGACAGGGAACAGTCCTGCACTGGCTGGAACAAGGGAAGGGAGCAGACTCTGTCTCCATTGCTAACTTCTCTGCTAAGTTATTCTTGGTCAGTAGGTTGCTACGGGGCAGGAGCCACACTTCAGAGTCTGAGCAAGAAACAAGAAGTGCTGTGTTCCTGTTCAGCATGGGCCTGATCCAAAGGGAACGAGTGCACCTCTGAAGTGTTTACCCTGTGCTCAGCACTATCTCAGACAAAAATAAAAATACTCCCTGCCCCCAGAGCTGCAGTGTGAGAGGATCAGGGAAGAGGGACAGTGCTGGGAAGCCTAGAAGAAGAAGAGTTTTATTATTGTTTAGCTTGGCTCTTGGGGGTGTTGTGGAAGAAGTGAGTTTTCCTGGGGCCCTGGAATGCAGGCAGTCGTGGCTTGGGAGCTGGCACAAGGGGGTTGATGCAGCGTGCGGGGTGCTGCACGAGACCTGTCAATTACACTGATGTTTTTGTTACCTATGTTAACCTAATATTTATGCTCAAACAGGGGCGGCTCCAGGCACCAGCGCAGCAAGCGCGTGCCTGGGGCGGCAAGCCGCGGGGGGCGGCCTGCCGGTCGCTGTGAGGGTGGCAGGCAGGCGGCTTTCAGCGGCATGCCTGCGGGAGGTCTGCCAGTCCTGTGGCTTCGGTGGTAGGGGCGCCAATGGCACGGCACTGGCGGACCTCCCACAGGCATGCCACCGAATCCGCATGACGGCCCACCGCCGAAAGCCGCCTGCCTGCCATGCTTGGGGCGGCAAAAAACATAGAGCCACCCCTGTGCTCAAAGCACTGCATGGATATTAACTAATTCTCACACCACCTATGGGAGGTGGGAGATACGGAGCAGGATCCGTATTTTACAGATGAGGAAGTGGAGACAAAGTTGAAGTGACTTGTCCAAGCCTAAACAATGAGTAAGCGGCACAGCCAAGACCTACGGACTTCTAGCCCCGTGCTCATGCCTTGAGACCACACTGCAGTTGTTCCCACGCTGTAGGTTGGGAACCGAGCGTGGTTCTCGGATTGAAAAGTGTTGAATTAAGCACTGAGGTGGATCCATCTGTGAGAGGGGCAATGTGAAAATATTGGAGAACCACTGTGTAAACAAAATAGTTCTTACATCCAGTGCCCCACAGCTCCTGTCCTTTTTGCCCTTTCTCGTCTGAGGTGAGGTCAGCCCCATGCCAACTCTCCTTCTGAGAACACAAACACAGATTCTTATCATTTAGCTCTGCGGCTTTCAGCAAATCCCTGTCCATCTCCCAGATTCCAAACCAGGGTTGCAATGTTGATCTTGTTCGCACATTGTGTAATGTGAACATGAACTTTGTTGCACCTCCTTGCCTTAGCTGAGGGCTCATCTACACAACAGATTAATGCAAGGCAAGCCAGGGTATGAATGTGTGTGAACACTTCAGTGAAAATCCCGGCGCGCAGCTTAGCAAACTGCACTTTGAAGCAATATGCTAAGCTGCACTCTGGGACTTTCACTGCGCTAGAGTAGTGTCCACGCAGGATGTTACTGCGAGGCTACAGACTAACACGGCTGCTACTCTGAAACCTGCTGTGCTACAGATTCACACCATGCTGTGTGGCTCAGTAACTTGCAAACAGCCCCTGCGCTATAAAAGATTACCAGGAGCAGGTGTCTGCTTTTCTCCCTTACAGACAAATACCAAGTGTTTCACCTGAAATGACCAGTCCTGGGTTGGGTTCTTCTGTGTTTGCATTCAGGATCTTTTAAAGAATTACTGAAAATAGCACTGCCGTGTCTCAGGACTGGCCATTTTAGCCATGGCTATCCTACTCCACGTGGACAGAACAAAGGCAGACCCCACCGCTATAGCTATGGATTTCTGGACTGGGAAGTTCTAGGAGAAAAATCTCTCCCCTCACTTACTTGTATGTGCTAAGTGCTGTGTAGACATATAGGGAAGCACAACTGCTGCCCATTTAGCTGGTGTTCTGAGAGTAACTTCTGCAAAATCATTGAGCCACCTGAACTTGGTGCTGGTTTCCTTTTTGGGCAGCATCATGTGCACTCATGGCACTGAGAGCTACTTCTTAGAGGTTCTATCCAACCCTCACTTCTTCATTCGTTGTATAGGCCCTGATGTGTTAAATACTTGGAACTGCTGGAACTGATTATATAGAGAAGAATTCTCACAGACTTGTTTTTGTGCCTCTGAATGGACAGAACAATTGTTGCACTGGGGGGTTTCACTTCCATAAATTAAATTCGACATGGCCCATATCTTTGCTTTTTCCAGGGTTGCAGATCTAGTACAGGAGGCTAGATTTTGATGGTGGTCCCAAGCAGCAGGGACCATTACACTCCAGTGGGATTTGTTCTTGGAAGTGAGAGTTGGGAAAGAGGAAAAGCGGTGAGGTGACTTGACACATTTCGGCAGCATGGAAGGTTGAGGTGCTCAGCAGGTGTCATTGCGGGGGATTGGAATTAGGTGGGATATTTGAAGGTGACACAGATCTTGAGAGACGGGAGGTTAACTTAAAAATACCTTAATTGTATGAAGCAACAGAGGGTCCTGTGGCACCTTTAAGACTAACAGAAGTATTGGGAGCATAAGCTTTCGTGGGTAAGAACCTCACTTCTTGCATCTGAAGAAGTGAGG